CAGACTGTTTAGGGTTCAGGTGCTTGCACTCTTTTTGAATGTGTTACTCCATTTCAATTTCTGTTAACCTTTACTGGACCTAGAAACTAAAACACAAGGAGTGTTGTAACCACCAGAAGGCTGTTTTCTGTAGATGAAGACTTTGAAAAAATGGAACAGCTTTGGCAGAGTGCAGAACAACTCCTGGCTCTGTCTCCTGCTGGTATTCTGAAGTGAATTTGAAACATTCTCCTTCCGACTGTTTCTCCGTAGTGGAACAAGGTTAAAAGTAGATTCTTCCCAGAATCCCTCGTCGCCCGCCCGTTGTGTGCTCTCTGCAGTGTGACAATTGTCCATGGTCAGGAAACAACCGGATTAGCTGTCCACGCATTGAGGCAATGCCCTAAGCTCCAGGCTACTGAGCAGAAAGAGAACCACTATTAATTTGCCAACTCTAATGATTTGATTTTCTTACAAAGATGTGATTTTTCTATACTGTATGGCGTAGTTTGCAGGATAAACTAGATGACTTCTGAGGTATTTTCCAAATCTATTTTCTGTGATTCTTAGGATATCTACTAAATTCAACTTATGTTTGAAGCAAGTAATTTCTATGGCTTTGGAATGATCAAGAACCTGGTCACCTAACAATCTCCCATCGCTGCAGGTTTTCAGTCTCCCAGACTATGTCTGCTAGCACTTAATTATCCTTAGTGTTAGAAGCTTCTGTCTGCTATCTTCAGAAATCCCCCTTGTTGCATTTTAAATCAATTTCTTCTAATCATGTTCACAAGGGCATGGAAAACGAGCTTTTTTCCCCCCTTCTGTTATTCAAGTAACCTTCTCCTGTTTGAAAGCAGCAATTGTGTCTCACATCGGTCTCTTCTAGACTGAAGAAGCCCTGGGCCTAGCTTTTTCTCACAGACTGTATTTTCTAGACTTTGGATCGCTTCTGTTGGTTCAAACTGCTTGGCACAGGCTTTCATTTTCCAAAAGCTGCTTCCTCCCCACAGACAACAGGACAAACAGATCTACAGTGACAGGATATGAAGCTCAAATGTACAAATGTTGACAAATAAAGATGTAAGCAAAGGTATGTATTAAGATTAATTGGAAACGTGGGGATGTTGGGCGCTTTGAATCTTCCTTCAGCTTTTCAGCTGTGAACACAGTCAGGTTTCTACACGCAGTAGCTGAATTTGAGAGCAAGGGAAAGATCAGTAGTAACAAAAGGCAGTTGAATTATGGTAGAAGCAGGAAGACAAGAAACTCTTCTTCCCTGTCTTCTCCAGTTTCTGGCAGTTACAGAAAGCTAATGGTAGGGCCTCAGAGGTGAGAGCTCTTCTCCACTAATCCTGCAGACTCCTGGGAATGTCCTTTGATGGTGTCTCCCTCAGCATTGAAATTCACCAGCTCACTATCAGATTTAGGGAGAAATAGTTGCTAAGCGCCTGTTTGTACACAGATCATCATGACTGTTCAAGAGTTTAAAAATCTAAAGGAACAATGAAGCACTTTGCAGGTGGAAACGGCCACATTCTTCAGGGAAACCTATCAGCTACAGGACATCAATGATGACCCTCTATATTTAAGGAGGAGTTGGGCATTCCAGTCTGAATTTTCTGTAGTTGACTTGTGCAGCTTGTCCTTCAGGGCATTATTATCAGAGCATTATTATATCAAGGTAATTAGAATTACTCACACAGCCCAGTATGTGGTAGGCTTTCCACATGAGTGAGACAGGATCTTTCCCTGAGGAGTTTAGTGGTCTGCACAGACAGAAGCAGCAAGTTAGAAAGCGAGCGAAGATGCAGTGGTGTAAGTACTGGTCTTACTGCCGTTATGTGCTGCCTTTACAGATCAGAAGTCACTGCTTCCAAAACCATATATAATCTATGAAGTTTCAAAAGGTTGAATTTCTTTGATTTGCTTCTCAGCCTACACACGTTCAGGAGCTCTGCAGCCATTAGGCAAGTATGGTGGAGATAAAAATTCTGTCTCCATCCTAATGTTGTGCTTAGTGATGTTAGGTACCAAGGAGGCATCACCGTGTTGGTCTGAAGTTCTGCTGCTGCTTAGAAGTAAGATGCAGTGATAGAGATGAGCTTAACTCCGCTGTTCGTTTTAGTTTACTCAAGAGCTGTGTACAAGTGCTTTCGCTCAGAGATATGTGCGTATCAAAACTGTATTAGTTTCAGTAGCTGATGTCAGGAGCTGACTCTTTCAACAGCAGCAAAGCATGTGTTATGTGTAAGTGCCTTGGAAATACAACGAGGTGTTGGGATTGTACTGAAGTGTTTGGAATGCCTCCAAACTGTGCCCATGCTGAAACAAAGACTTGCTGCAGACTCTTTGGGCATCAAGCAGGTGCCTCTTCCCCAGCTTATACCAGTCCCACACATACCAAAGTGCCTGTCTGTGCCAGGATAAATTTGTGTATCTTAGGGCTGGTAGTGCTGAGCAGTACATCTGTCTGTAGACATGCTGTTGGACAGCATGAACTATGTGGTAAAGAGGGTGTCTAGATGTGCAGCCTAAGCCCAGCTGTTTTAAGATATTAATCACTTGAGTATCACAATAGCTATGTGATGCATTTCTGTGGGGATAAAACTGTGACGGCTGCAACTCAGTTTGCAATAAATTTCATGTTAAGTCATTGTTGAGGTTTTTCATTTGTTGCTTTTTATTTGCTAGTTATATTTTTCAGGCTTTCTTCTGGCAAAAATTACTGTATAATTCTAAACCATAGTAAGGAAAGCAACCCCCGTGATGGCTACATGTTTGTAGTGGAAATGCTGTCAGCATTTGCAAGAGAGAAGATGCTGATATCTGACTTCAGTTGGTGAAAAAGAAATTTGCCTTGGTGCATTTTGGCCCTCAGAGATGGTATCAGTAAAATTACATAGAAAAGGTCCCCTACACACCTGTTTTTCAGCATTTTTGAAGTACAGTCATTCTGGCAGGAATTCGGATCTAGAATGTATGAACACATTAACACCTTTTCCAGAGCCCTTTTATCAGAGCTATTGTGTTCTCAAATAGGTCATAGAGACAATAAAAAAAAGCAAGAAGTAACAAGAGAATTGTGTGTAGGAGAAAGTAACTTACTGGCTGCTGCTGGGGGTTGCTGCAAAAGCAAAATCATTTTGATAAGATGTTTCCTGTTTAAGTAGACATTTGACTATGTGTCCTTTGGCTTTAAGGAAGTCTCAAACAAAATCCCTTCCCAGTTGCTTAGCTGTCTGGGTGGTTTTTATTACTTTGAAGTTAGGCTTTATCTGCTGGCTTCATTCACAGACTAGCTGGCTGCTTATCACATCTGTGGATCAAATCTTCAAAGGTTTTGTCTGAAGAGTTGGGATTTATGAGGTCACGTGGAATCCCCCTTGGAGGGAGTTCAGCCCATGGCAGCAGAATTGTGGGGAAAAGCTTTTGTCTGTAGGTGATACTGGGCAGGGGAGGGGCTCTGCGATGCACTGGAGGTATGTGTGTGTTGTGGGGTGGTGCTGATAGCCAGGGAAGCGTTGGATTGTGAGCGCTGGCCCATTTTCAGCACGCAACATATAGAGAATGTGGGAGACCAGAGTGCATTCCTAGACACAGACTCACCGTGTTGCTGCTTCCAGTAGAGCTGTGTGAAATGTCAGAAGGAATTAGACCCGTGCTGGAATTGACAACCACATCGGGCTCTGCAGCACTAGGCTTCACTGCACTTTTACAGCCAGGCTTAGAAACTGCACTGAATGGGTGAAAATTATGATTCCTCCCCTCCCCCAGAAAGGTGGCTGCTTATACCATTCACAAGACAGTTAGCTACTGGGGGAAAAAAAAAAAAAAAAAAAAAAAGAAAAACCGACCCAAAAGGCTGCCTGGCTTTCTGCTTACTTCAACAGTGAGCAGCAGCTGTCAAATCTGCAGCCAAAACTGCCTCGTCGCAGCCCCGAGCGTCCCTTGAACAATATGCCAGCTGAGATGAGCATCTCCAGTAAAAACACATTTGAGTACTCTTGCCTCTGGAACATAGCATGATTTTCAGGCTGTGTTCAGGCATGCCAGGCTTTGCTGACTGTACAAAAATGGGAGGGCTCGGTGCAGCAGCATATGTTTGTTACATTTCTGAGTGTCTTGCAAACAGCTTTAGCTGATTATGCCACTAGAGATCATGCTTGGTTTCAGAACAAGCAAAATGATATAACTACATGTGCTGCAAGCACGAGAGAGTACTCGTCTGTGCTGATTTATACCTCTCAGCTTCCATTCAGGAGATGAAGATTAGGTTAAATGATGGCAATGATCTCTGTTAAAACAGCATTGGAAAGAAAGCTCTTTTCCTTGGATGAAGCATACTGTGAGTTACCTCCTGCAAGAGGATGAACAGATTGTAGGTACTATGAAGGTAGTATAACCCCACTCACGATGAGGGATTTGGGAAGGTATGTAGTACACGTTAATTTGATGTGTTTGGAGATGTGGCTAGTTGTCCTTGTCAGACTCTGCCTTCCTTGAGTTCTCCATCAGAACGTGCCACTGCTGCAAAGAGTAGTTTCGTGTTTATGCACTTGGCTCTTACTTTGGCAAAAGCTGCTATCTTTCAGCACTTACTAACACAGCCCCTCTTTGGATCAAAGCTCCACCCCTTGTGAAGAAGGGGTGCTTATTCAGCCCCTGTAGCCACACGCTGTCCTCCTGCAATGGCTCCTCCTCCCCTCCCACCCTTGGGTGGAACCAGAGAAGGGAAAACTTGACAATAGTTAGCAGGCAGCGGAGCTCGCAAGAACCATTGCAGAAGCATGTCCAGCTAGCCCGGTTAGCAGTTATTCTATCCTTCCCAAGGGTGCTGCTGCTGTTGAGTGCAGGAGAAGATGGTTATAGCCATGGGAGCCAGGAAAAATCTGAAAAGGAATGAGCAGCCGAGAGACCTGGCATTCCTTGGGCAGCTTCAAAGAGAGGTGAAGTATCTGAATCAGCGCAAGATTAAATGAGCACTGGCTGCTGCCATGTTGGCAGAACAGAGCTGTTCAGAGGCAGTTGGACAAGTTTGTGGCTGAGCCGGTTTATCCAGTGTTGAAGATGGGAAGTTACTTGTCTGCCCCAGCTTACTTCGCTCCCAAGGATCCCTTTCGGTAAGTCTTGTGCAGGATTAGCGGTGGACCTTCAAAGTGTCGTTTTCCCCCCTGTAATGCTATCCTAAGCAGTTGGCGTGTGAGGCGTGAAGAATGAGGTCCAGGGCTTGTGTGCCCAGAACAGCTGGCCTCAAACTGGGATCCTGTCTTGCTTTGAGGAGACGATGGGGAAGATTCTTATTACCAGCCTCTGCGCGGTTCTTTGATAGGCGGGAACGGCACCTGTGTTGTGAGGCAGTGTCTGCAGAGCCCAGGCAAGCAGGCTTCCTCTCGGAGCAGCACTACGTGTGCCACTTTACCCCATGCCCCTGTGCTTTGCTCCGCTGCCAGAAAAATGAGATTACTGTGACTGCTGCTGCTTATGTCTCTTCCAAAGCTACTTGTGCTTGGGCATAGTGCAGGGTGAGGTGAGGTGCTGCTGTTGCAAGCTCAAGAAGGTGATGTAATCTGTGAGGTGGTGCATAATCTTGTTTGAGAAAAGAAATCAAGTACTTTGCAGGTAACTAGGGATGAGCAGCACACTTCCCTGATGTAGAAAGGATTCTTCTTCTGTGATATTTTGGTTTATATTAACAACGTTCTTGGCCCAATTGAACAAATGGGGCTCGAGAAGGGCGATAGCTGCAGAATAAGGCTTTGATTGCATTACATCTCCATAGTGAAAACTGTTAGTGGGGCTGAACACAGCCAGGATGGTGACTGATGCTGATGTGCTGATAAGGTGAATGGATGGGGAAAGGCACAGCTTGCAGTTTCATTGTCTCCCTCCTATCCCCTCCACTCGAATTTGCTCATTATTGATCCTGTTCCCACAAACACTTTTGTACTGATTTGGGAGTAAGGAGCCTTTTGTTAAAACAGTCTAGGATGGGCGTAAATACGGCTGCGCAACTGCTAAACTTGTTTAGGCAACTTTCTGAACCAACATCCGCTTTCAGAAGAAGGAAAGTGAGCAGACATCATTCATTATTTGTAATATGTGTAAGGCATCATGTTGAGCCATAGATACACCTTCTCCTAACTGTGTGGAAATGGTTTTGCATAGTCAGAGCTTAAGCACTCTGTCTCCTAGTACTTAGTCTGTTTTCTAGCATCTGTTCTTCCTTGTCTAGCGTCTCTTACGTAGCCAGTGCACACAATTCTGCTAAGTCCGGGTGAGAAGCCGTTGGGTTAGCTACGGGCTGGCGTTATGTTTTATTCTGCAGCTTTCTGTCTGCACAACTGTCCTCTCCCCCGCTCTGCCTGCAGAATTGGAACCATAGCTCTTTCGAACCTGTCTAGCGTTAACTGATCTAGCCTGACAGTGTGTGTGGGGGGGTGCATTTTATTAATGAGCCCTTCTCAAAGGGATCTGTCTCTTCAGGGCTAAGGAAGTCTTTGCTTCCATGAGGGTATTGGCTTTCATTTAGATGTAAAAGAGATGCCACATCAATTGAGTCTCCCATCTCTCTGAAAAGCAGGCTGGTTACCTGTTGTGACCTGATCCTCCTACCACTCCTCACAAAACGAAGCGGTGATTTGTGAACTCTTTCTGCGCCTGCTGTGCTTCAGAGCATCAGGGCTGAACACTGCACCCAGATGCTGTCTGGGGTTCCTGAAGGATGGCTGCGGGAGGCAGATTAATTTATTCTTTACAGACGAGGCTGGGAAGCGAAGAATCATAATGTATGAGACTGTATAATCAGGGCAGGGCTTTGCAACTCTGAAAATGGTGGCTGGGCAGCAAGAGGAAACACGTCAAGTATGGCTGTTACCAGTCCTCCAAGAAACTTGATTACCATGCTTTGTTACGCTGTAATAAGAATAGCAAATCATCTAGGAGAAGATTAGCGGTTTCTAATCTATAGAAGACAGAGGAGCAAGAAATCTTCCTTTCTTTTGGTTGTGGTGACTGGCAAAGATTAGCTTGCTTAATGCCTGTAGAAGTAATTGTATTTCTGTCTCAAGTGATGTGAGCCCTGGCAATGGCAGCGCTGCAATGCCATGCACCCTAGTGCGGAGGCAAAGGAAGGAGTGGTAACTCTTGTATCTTCTGTGATTAATTCTGAAGTATCTCTTTAATGAGAGTCATGTGGAACAATCATCTGATGCCTTTATCATTTGGGCAAAAGCACTGAAACAGTTGAAGCAGGTCTTGAAACTATACCTGTGTGCTGTCAGCCAGCTCTGCACACCTGACAAATCTAAAGCCTTTCCTATGTTACAGAATGCATGGTAAATAACAGAAGGTGCTGCTTGGGAATATGGGCCATAGCCACCTCCTCTTGCTGGCAGTGATTAATAAAGTAGCCAGTTAGACCCATTACCAGCATCCAGCCTCTCTGGGGCTGGTTGCTTTGTTCCTGTTGCCTCACTGCCCTGGGTGGGGTTCTGATCCTTAAGCTGCAAACTTGTCCTGCCCAGATTTGTTTAATTGCATAGCAAAGAACTGACTGCTTGCTGGCTCCACCCCCTCACCTTCATTTTGCTATGGGTGTGTTGCAAATTAGATACCAGTGCTTATTTCCGGGTGGAAGCAAACTAATCAAAGTGCTGTAAGGTTGGAATCAAACCATGAAGAAGTAGGGGAAAGGTAAAGGGAAGACAAGAGTACACAATCCTCTGCAGCCTATCTAAACAGAATTGCGGTTGTGTTGCTTTTGCAGAAATTTTAGATTTTCTTAGGGAGAAAAAGGAGTGGTTGAAGGTGAAATTGAAGAGGGGTGAGGAAGGGAAGGTGGTGTGCTTAAAACCAAGTAAATAAATAACCCACCTGCTTGGAGAGAACTTAGACAGAAAGCCAGACCTTGAGGTCCTGGTGGAGCAGTCTCCGGTATTGCTGTCTACATCCCAAGTGCAGGTCTGGTCACAGCTCCCTGTTTGAAGATGTAATCACTCTTGGAGCACACACTGGTACAGGCATGCATGCAGAAGTTGGATAAGTCTGAGGGATCCGATTTGCCCATGCTGAGCCAGATGTTCCTGCCACAAGGTGATAGAAATCTTTGCTTTTAGTCTCCACTTGCTCTTTTCTCCCTCCCACTCACCTACTTGATCATTCAGCATGGGGTATTTGCTGCAAATGAAAGCCAAAGGCTAGTGGTTGAAGGCAAAATGCATTGCAATGCCCTCTAGGTCTCTCGCATACCATGAGCAGGGTGTAACCATGACAGTGCCCCAAGGCTGAGGCTGTAATGATGCATGTACCATGTATAGCAATGTTAAGTTCCTGCTCCCCCTGCCTCAGACAAAATTGGCAGGGCTTGTTGCATGTGCTGGCGTTCATTCCCATCACTGAGGAATGGAGGGGTGGGGGGCAGGATTTGGAGCAACTCAGCTGGGAGAACAAACACTATAAAAGCCAAATACATTAGAAGGAGCAACTTTCCTGAGGGCAGGGTACGGCACTAAATACCTCATGAGGTGTGTTTTCCCCTAAAACCATAGGCTGCTTACAAGTAACTTCACCTTGTTGCTTTGCAGTCTCTTGAGATGGAGCAAATAACTCTCTCCATGTTGAAGTGTGACCAGCTTCGCATATCATTGCACTCATTACAAGCTGGTGGAGTTTACAAGGAATGCCTTTGGCACAAATAAGTTTTCAGGAAGTTTGTGAAAGGTGAAGTCAGCAGTAGCTCTCATCTTAGACCTGGGAGCATGTAAAAAGTGTACCTCCAGTACCTAACTGACTTCAGTGCATTCAGTGCTGTAGAGGCCTGCTGTCCAGGAGGGCACATGCCCACCTAAACCCCCACCCCAGTACAATGGGTTCCCCTCCAATGTCCTAACTGAGACAACTGCTGGGGCAAGGGGCAGAAGAAACTTAATTCTGCCTTTGGAAAAGCATCGTACTGACGACAGCATTGATCTGTGAGGTGTTTCTTTGAACCAGTTATGGGTGGCTAACCCACCTTAGATTCTGCACTCAGGAATGGCCAATACCAGACTAATTTTCCTCTTAAAGTATGAGAACGTGCTGCCCAGGGCTAATGGAATAATCTTAGTGATGCAACTGCTGTCTGTGTCTTCTCTCTCCATGAAGTCACACCTCAGCGCTGCAGAAGTTAAACTCCCTTGCCAGTGTATCCTTCTGTGGCAGGATTATTTTGTGTTCAGGAAGCCTGAAGATCTGGGTTCTGCTTGTGATTTGCTAAAACGATATCTGCAATATAATTGCTGCATCTTTTTATTTGTTTTTTGGGGGGGGGATTGGTTAGTTGGTTGTTGGGGGGGTGTAGATAGAGGATTAATAATGGTTGCTTGTTGAAATGGGAGCTGACACTGATATGTGAAGGATTTTGAGACTCCTTTCATGAAATTAGGGAAATAGTTTTGTTTGGGTTTGTTGTTGGTTGGTTGGTTGTGGGTTTTTTTTCTCATGTGCTGTCACCAGCAGGAGGAAAGAGAGAGCAATTGGTGGGGAGAGGTGGAGGACTTTCATCACAGTTAATTGGTGGATGCAGTAAGTATGTGGAGCTCAAAGGATGAACTGCTTTGAAAACTCTCCCTGAAATGGAGGATAGTGCTGCAGTTGACCTTTTGGGAGAGGTCTACTTACAGAGGAATAGCAAGGCTTTCCACAAAGGTTGGTGCAAAACTGGCTTTGTGTTGCATAGGGAAGTGGATGCTGCCTCTCTGTCCCCCTTCCTAAACTGGCTGAGGAGACAGATGCTCTGGCACAAGATGGTTGTGATGCTATAGAAACACTAAGTAGAAATGTAGCAGAGCTATCTGTGTGCTGGGCAACTCTGGAAGAGGGAGAAAACAGAGGAACAAAATTTATAAGGCAGAATTTATAAACCTGCTGATGTGGTTTAATAAATGGATGGGATTTGTTTTAAAATTTGGAAGCTTGTCTTTTCCTTTGTACTGGTTGATACCACTTCTCCTTACAAACTTTGGTTTTGGTGCTAATTTTCAGTTGAAAAAGCATTGGGAAGTGGAGGGGTTTAGTACATCTGTTGCTAGAAGTGCTGGTGGTGAGCTGCTGCTGAATGTCCATTTTCTCCATACAGGAGAGGAGCTTTTCCATTGATTTGTGACTTGTTGCCAACTGGAACCTTGTTCCTTTGTTTCCTTCAAGGTGCTCTGAATGTCAGGATCCTCTCACTAACTGGTACTATGAGAAAGATGGGAAGCTGTACTGTCACAAAGACTACTGGGGGAAGTTTGGGGAATCCTGCCATGGCTGCTCTCTGCTGATGACTGGACCTGTGATGGTAAGGACTCTGAAGGACTCCTGCCTGGAGGCAGGCCAGGCCTGTCTCCAACTGCTCGAACTTGGTTGGGAGTTGCCCAAGCTATTCAGATAACCAAATAAACTGAAGGTAATAGTCTCTTTGCTACGCTAATCTCTAATCAGAGATTAGAAATGAGGCTTGTGTGTGCATCTTCTAGATAGAGATTAATTTTGAACAGGGTAACTCTTAAAGGAGGGAGTTATGAGGATCTCAAGCATATGAACAAAGAAAATAAGGTGCTGAAATGCACAAGCATGAGAAATAGAAAGGTGATTAAGAGGACATCTCTTCAGTTTCTATAGCACGGTGCCTCAGTGTCTCCATGGGGTGATTCTTCCACTGCACTGCAGAATCAAACCTCTCGGCTCAGGATAAGCAGCAGGTTCTGGCTTTGGGGAAGGTTGCCGTCCAAGTCCCATCTGGACTGTGGCCAGAGTGGTTTTCTGGCTCATGGTGTCTTGAAGTAGTGGTAGCCCCAATTGCTTTGAAACATTGAACTCTGCCTGGACAATATGGGGCTCACCTAAATGTTCCCCTCCTTGCCACAACCTTGCAAATATTTAACCTTTAAAACTGTCAAGAATGAAACATAACCATTATTTTTCTAGGGCCTAAATAAAAGCAGCATGGTACTCAGTAATATGATTGCTACCTCAAAAGGAAGTACTGAAAAAAGTGCAGACAATTTCTCACTGCCTGCAGAAGTCTTTGCAAAATATGGTCAATAAGGGAAGTTCTCATAAGGAAAATAGAAAAACAGATCAATGAATAAAAATACTCTTTAAAGGTATTTTGTTGTCTCAGTCTCAGCTTGCTTTTTTTTTCTGTCAGCTGGTAAAGTATCTGAATTTGTGCATTGCCTGTCTGCCAAAAAAAAAAAGTCCTTTCAGCTTTTTTAATTCAGGCATAACATTCGTTATCTTGCCAAGAGCAACCGAACAGGAAGGTTTAATATCTTGTTTACTAGTCTGCAGCAGACTATCAACTACTTTTGATAGTTGAGCAGCTGCCAAATATAGCAGAGGTTCCTGGGATGCAGGCTTTGCTTTGCATGTTGACATGTTTGTTTCCGAGAAGTTTTGCAAACAAAGTGCCAAGGATGGGGTTCCGTAAGGTGGAATGGGCTAATGTAACTCTCCAGTAAAAAACTGCCACTTGACTTTGAGATCTGAATGAACATGTTAATTAGAGAGAAAAGCAGTAGCTGCATCTGCGGATGGATTTTTGCCCTACTAAGCTACTCCCTTTTCTGTCTGTAGGTGGCTGGCGAATACAAGTATCACCCCGAGTGCTTTGCTTGTATGAGCTGCAAAGTGATCATTGAAGATGGGGACACTTATGCACTCGTGCAACATTCCACTCTCTACTGGTAAGACGGAGCTGCATGCTTTGCCACGGAGTTACTCCCTGCTGAATGTGTAAGCCATGTTTCACTGGCTCTGTGTCGTTCAGCCGAATGCTACGCTAAGGAATGCCAGGAAGCTGCCTTTTGAGGGAGGGGGGAAGGAATAGAGTAAGCACTAAAAACTATAGCTTGTGGTCAATGAGAGAACTTAGAAGTGTGAATTTGGCAGGGAGGGATAGGATGCTGCCATAGTGACTTTCTTCACTTTTTTTAGTGGAAAATGCCATAACCAGATTGTGCTGACACCAATGATAGAAAAACACTCCACTGAGTCTCTGCGTGAGCAGCTGCCTTATACGCTGACCCTCATCTCCATGCCGGCAGCTACTGATGGCAAGAGGGGGTTCTCTGTGTCTGTTGAAGGTGGCTGCTCCAGCTACGCCACTGGTGTCCAGGTGAAAGAGTGAGTATGACAAGGTTGTGTGCAAGGTACATGTCTGTGCGGAGGGAGCTGGTAAAAATTCTGCAGCGCTACTGTCCTGCCAGCTGCTTTAACTGCTGAGGGGACCTGTCTTGGCACAACGGGGACATATGTTGGCTAATAGCCATTTGTGTTTGGTCTCCATTTCACTCTTGTGACGACCTTAATCGATAACTTTATTTCTCAGTGCTGTCTCTTTCACTGAACACAAAACATTTGGCAAATTGTAATGGATTAACAATTTCCAGCATTGAGCAAATGAAGAGCTCTCCCCAGACCAGCTCAGACCTAAGCACTTGGTCTAATGGTAGTTCCCTGTGTCGGTAGATTAGCATTGTTTTATTTCAGAATACCAATATGAAGGGAAGCATCAGAGATCAAATATTTTTTATAATTTTGGCTAAACTGACTTCCCACACACGCTATAACTCCCATGTTTAGAGTTAACAGGATGCACATCAGCCCAGATGTCCGAAACGCCATCCACCCTGCAGATCGTATCCTGGAGATTAATGGAGCTCCTATTCGTACATTACAGGTGGAGGAGGTGGGTACAGTTCTGTTCTGAAGCCTCCTTCTCATTTGCATTCCTACAGCATTTCTGTTTCTCGGCACTGTTCTCCCACCTTACATACAGTGTGTGTACACCCATAGTACTCATGCTGACAGTAGGAATAAACATGAAGACAAGCTTTGCTACCCCTTCCAGCTGAAGAGGAAAATGTAACGGATAGAAATGCAGTTCGAAATGCGGTTCTGATTTTGTGGCATTCAAACATGAAGGGAGGTAATAAGGAAAGTGTAGGGCTGTGACATCTCAGAGGACAGAGAGGCTGTGAAGACGTCTCAAGTATTGCTAGTGAAGTCCACTGTTCTGATCCTTTGAGGCAACTGCTAATAGACAAAGGCTCAGCTGATTCTAGGGGTGAGTTTTCCATTGCAAAAAAAGTATTTGATGTCTGTATTTACAAGTAAATGCTTTATACGGATATCAGGTGATGCTGCCAGAATGTAGTGAGACCGCCATTACCTTCACTACACAAGGGTTTTATTTGCTGTTGGTGCTGAAGAGAACATTAGGAGCACAATAGACAGTTCTCAGATAAATCTCCATGTAGCTTTTGCAAAGCTGTTTTTTGCAGCACTGTTCAGGATGGATACTCGTGTAGTTTTTGAACATTTCTCAGGAAAAGAAAAAAAAAAAAAAGTGTTTGGTCACTTGCAGCTGACCAGAAGGAAAAGGATTTGGATAGCATAAGGAACTTCTGTGTTGCTAACTTGATTTGTCTGGTAGACAGCTGTGGTGTGCGCAACTAAACCACAACTATGGAGTGATCTCACTGAACTCTCTACTGTGATTCCTGAAGGGCATTCTGCTGTGTCTCCTCTATCCTGTCATTTGTGTTCCTCCTGTCTGCTACCATCCAGTCCTTTGGTTTGATTGCAGGTGGAGGACTTGATTCGCAAGACAAGCCAGACGCTTCAGCTACTGATAGAGCACGACCCTGTCTCGCAGCGCTTAGACAGGCTTCGTTTGGACTCCCATTTTCCCACCCACATAAAGCCACCCATTTCCCCACGCTCCCTCTCTCCACTGGACATCAAGGAGAATCTGGAAGGAACGCTCCGACGGCGCTCCCTCCGGTAAAGATTTGGAAGTGCTGTCTCTGACCTAGCTTGCCTTTGCCCTGCGCTACCTGGCTGGGCTGCTCTGTGCCCAGGCCCTGCGATTGCAAATGACTGCAGAGACATGAGTTATCTCTGATATGAGCCTTGGTATAAACCATTGGTGAAGCAGTGGGAGAGCTTTAGCTTCTGCTATTGACATGTACTCTCTCCATTCCCTTTCAGGATGGCAACCTTTCCTTAATAAAAATAAGGAGCTCTACTTTTAACATAGAAAAGCTATCAAGTTTTACAGTTAGAAAACGTAAAGGTCAGATTTTTACCAGCCTTAAATGCCTGGGGAAGAATGTGTCCTTAAAGGGAATATGGCTGAGAATTGGGGTTTGGGAAAAATCTTGTCTTCCTAGACTGGGGCACTGAGTTGCTCGTTTAGTTATTCACCAGTATTTTAATCTTTCTTTAGAGATAGCAAGTGCTGTGTCTTCACAGCTTCCTCCTCCTGTTCACAGAGCTCACCTCTGACTGACAATGCAGGAGATGTGGTGGTGTTAGGCAGCTCTGCCTTGGAAGCTGCACTAGATTTGTAAAGAGCTTCCATGGTGCTGGGAGAGCATCTGGCTTTTGAGATAGGAAGACCACTGAAGCACATCTAGAAACTGGTCCCTTAGGGGCTAATGATGGGATATGCTGGACCAAAAGTTTCCTAGCAGTTTCCCTGATCTTCCCGTCTCCTTTGTTTTCTAGGCGAAGTAACAGCATTTCTAAGTCTCCTGGCCCCAGTTCTCCAAAGGAACCGCTCCTTCTGAGCCGTGACATCAGTCGTTCTGAATCCCTACGTTCCTCTTCTAGCTGCTCCCAGCAAATCTTCCGGCCCTGTGACCTGATTCATGGTGAAGTACTAGGAAAAGGATTTTTTGGACAGGCAATCAAGGTGAGGGAGGTCTCCAAACATTCATCGTTTACTTTGATTACAGCAATGTCTGCCTACCTTGGGATCCTTCGCCACTGTCTCGGTGGCCTTTGCCCTGCTGATAGTGATCAGTCTTGGAACTCACCTGGTTTGCTCAGTGAGATCCATTTCTCTGTTTCATTCCCTGACCCTGAGTGTCTCTGGCTGCAGGCGGTTTTGACTTTGTCCCCTTTGAATGTCAACCTTGGCCATACATACTCATCTCCTGAGTTAGATTTAGAGCTCCAGAGTGCCTGTGTCACAGCAACCACCTGGGTGAGGTGGGGAGAATGGGGAACAAGCTACTTTTTCTCTTACGAGCATCTTTCTTATGAAGAGGTGCATTCAACTCCCCAGTACTGCATTTCTCACCTACCCTTAGTGTGGCATCTTGTGGGTTTGCCAGGCTGATGTAGTGACCATCTCTGAACCCCCAGCAGAGCCTAAATGGCTTGTTGGTGTGGTGGTAGTGGTCAAGTCTTGCATGACTCTCGCAATTAAAATCTCCATTAATAGCAGTTCTCTTGTATTTAAGCTCTCTGGTCTTGACTGGGGGTGCTTCAGCAGCTCCTGTCCTGGCAGCCCTGACAGCAGCAGGGGGCAGCTTCCTCTGCCTTATGAAGGTGCTGTGAGCTCCTCAGTACTCAGATTGCTGTTCACCACGTTATGGGACTTCTGTCCTTACACCTGTATAAACCTTCAGTTGTCCAGCCACCGTATTCATCTCATGCTTCTATGGGAGGTGGTGAGCCAGTACTACAAACCCAATGCTTTTGATCCATACTAATGAGCATATTTCTCTTCTCCTCTGCTCATAGAGAAATAACAGGTTCAGGTAAGCAGAACCTTTCCTCTGTCGCATGCTTTTGTCATCTGCGTCCCCACAGTTAATGGCACAAAGGCATTTCTTTTCTGCTCAAATTACCCGATAGCCGTCCTGTTCTGGTGCATGCTCTGGGACTTAAAATTGCCCTCTTGGAGTTTCATGATGACACTTGTTTCAGTTTTGCTGGTATGTCAGCTTAAGAATTCCACTTAGCCCTGTCTTGTCTTTGTCTCTTCCCTTTATCTTTGGGTATTAGATGTCCCTGGCTTTCATGTCCCTGGCTGAAATGTGTAGTGTTCCCTGGCTCGCTACTTGTATATGGATGCTTGATTTCAAACGGGAGCAGAAGAACGTTGTACTCTGGCTTCTGTTGTGTTATTCCATGCATTCGTATTCCACTTATATCAGCCTTGCTACGTCCAATGGTTCCAAACAGAACTAGTGTGCCACAGTGTTTGCAAGAGCTCATAAGCTTCCTAAATACTATAACTGGGTCTTGTATTCTGGATTGCAGTTCTGGAGGTTTACTGAAAGGCTTTTTATTTTAAAGGGTATGAGGCAAAAAAGTGACACCTTTCTTGAGCTTCAGATTGCCTGGTTTTGATGCAACAAGTACTGTATCTGGTCAGAATAGTTCCCTTCTGTTCCTAGAGAGAAGGTGGTTGGTTAGTTACCTGGAGATCTTAGGGAGACTGAGCTGTCCAAGTTAAGCGACTGAAGGGGAGAGGATTTCCAGGAAAACCTGCTCATTAGAATTTGGACCCTTTCTACTCACTCATGCACCCCATGCAAAATGCCAGGAACTAGCTGGATACAGGCAAACAGCTCTTGAGGAACTGGCAATACTTTCCATGTTGAGAGCCAGCAAATTTATTACCTGATGTTTATGGTGGATTTCTACGTGTTTGCCACCATTCTCGGACATTCCTTGCAGGTAGCAATAGACTGCTCCTAAGGAGTATGGTAAAATAACTGCGTCCTGCCTTAACTGAACAGCCTGTACATCCCAGTTCCGCTTGCACATGAGTAAGCTTGATAAGCTCATCAGAAACCATAAGGCTTCAGAGTCCCATAAAACAAAAGCATGTAGTAACGTAGTTTTGGGTTGTTTGGTTTGGTTTCTGATGCAAGTTGAACGTTGATTCCTTTGCTGATACAGAATGTAGTTGTTAGGGTCTATGTACAAGATGTGAGCATTACGCTGGGCAAGTGCTTTCTGTAAGGGAACTTGAGGCATGCGCAAGTACAGAACTGATGCCTTCAGAGGCTTTGACAGCCTGTACGCGTGCTCAGCCCTATGCTACCTAAAATGGAGACTTCAGCTCTGGTTCTTGGGATGCTGTTGGTCTCTTGGTATGATCCTCTGTCAGCTTTAGGTAGTTTCTGTTTCAAGTACAGAATCTTTGCTGAATTCTGAAAGGAGGCATTTTATGCAGTTTTCTGCAGATCCCTGGGCTCTGAATTTTCTCCCATCTATATTCCTCTCTGGATGGAGGGGAATGTTACCCTCTCTTTCAGAAGAGTTGCAAGAGCATTGGAGCTATGTATTCTTGAACTTGCCTGTAGTTGTGGTTTCTGTTTCCACCAGGTGACTCACAAGGCAACAGGAAAGGTGATGGTGATGAAGGAGCTGATTCGCTGTGATGAGGAAACACAGAAGACTTTCTTGACAGAGGTAGGAGCAAGATTTCAAAAAGCTTCCGAGCCAGTAGTGTGGTGGAAATCTCTTCCATCTTCTCTAAAGAGAAGAGTGATCATGCCAGCAACCTGGCAGGAATCAAGACGCTGAGGAGGCAGACACCACACGGGGGAAAGCTGACGTGAGCTGAATGTTTGCTGCAGTGAAGTGTGACTCACTCACTCTGAGCAATAGACATGGCTTCAGCTCCCAGTTCATTAATTTTTCAGTGATAAAAAGCAGCCTGAGTCTGAGGCAATTTGAGCTGTGCAATACATAAAGGATTTATCCCGTGAGCCTTGTGCATAAATACAAATGATGAGGGCCAATATCTGTAAGATATTTAAGACTCCTGCTGTATTTAAGCTAAACTATTTTCTTGTTCCATTCTCTTCTGTGGGGTGGGATGTCTCTGCTTCCCAGGTGAAAGTGATGCGCAGCCTGGATCACCCCAATGTGCTGAAGTTCATTGGTGTACTGTACAAGGACAAGAAGCTCAATCTCCTCACTGAGTACATTGAGGGGGGCACCCTGAAGGATTTCCTCCGCAATGCGGTGAGTATGGAAGCCTGGTAGACCTCTGCTCACTGAGGTTGACAGCGTGTTGTTGGTTGTACCAGCCTTACAGTGTTTGTGGTTAGTCTTCTCCTTTGGAGCTGTGTGGAAAAGCTGCTTCTTAGCTGTGGGTGGCCTGAGGCAGGAAGCACCTTCTTCCTGGGGCTCTGTTATCTTTCTCTGACTGCTGCAAGAGTCCCTGTTGCGGAGGAATTGCTGTCACCAAGCTGGCTGGTAAGATAGTCCCTGACCATTGAGGACTTGTCTTTCAGGACCCGTTTCCCTGGCAGCAGAAGGTCAGCTTTGCCAAAGGAATTGCCTCTGGAATGGTGAGTCAGACTGTCCCTTCATCACAGAGCAAAGCTCCAGGGTCAGGGCTAGCTGCTTCAGCAGGGTGGTGTATGAGGGGTTGTGGATGCTCCCTGACTACAGCAACTGGTTGTTGAGGTCTGTAAATGTGAAGGGACACGCTTGCCTGGGAACCCCTAACACCAAGTTTTCTCCCTCTGTTTCCAGGCTTACTTGCACTCCATGTGCATCATTCACAGAGACCTGAATTCACACAATTGCCTAATCAAGTTGGTGAGCTACACCTCTGTTCCCCACAGCATGCTGCTCCCCTTCTTGTCATCTTCCTCCCTTGGTTTTCTCCACATGGTGTTCCCTCTTTTGTCAGGGTGGAACTGATTTCAGAGAGGCTTTTAGTGCCCTAAACAAGGGAGCTTCACCTTCACATAGGATTTTCCAGACTGATCTATCTTTCATCGTTTCTTCATTCTGTTCTCTTACCCCCTTTCGTGTGGTAGCACCTCCTATTAACAGTCACGTTACAAGGGTTAGTACAGCTTTGTTCCTCATCTCAACTATGAAATGTTCTCTACAGCTGCTTCTGTTCTTTCAACCGTTTGATGATTTTTTTTATTGGCACTCAGGATTCAGACAAGTCCACGGGTTTGTGCAGATGTGTGTGCTCTCTCTTTTTAAAATGCTAGGTCACAAGAATTTTGTGTAGCTTCATTCCCTCAAGCCTTGCCCTTGTTCACTTGGCTGGAATATGAGATTAGCATGTAGGCTTCAAACAACCCAGGATGAAGGTCTAAGTTAATTCCCAGCCAGGCAGAATAGGAAGGTCTGAAAGGAAAGGTCCAGGTTTGCCCTGGCAAGTATAGCCAAATTGATGGGATTAGTGTTAGTGACCACACAGGAAATAAGACAATAAAGAGAGGGAAATGATGAGTTGGGATTGTGAATTGGGTGTCTTACACCTGTCTAGACAGCTTGCTACACTCATCTGGCTGCAGGAAACCTTGTGAGTTGCCCTTACATTGTAATTGATAGTGAATAGGAATTGCAGCCTCTTTGCTCCTGAGAGGAGCTGAGAGGATCAGTGGCTTGTACTAAATCCCTTGTGTAGGATAAGACGGTGGTGGTGGCTGACTTCGGTCTGTCTCGGCTGATTGTGGAGGAAAGAAAAAAGCCCACTTTGGAGAAGCCATCTGCCAAGAAACGAACCCTACGCAAGAGTGACAGGAAGAAGCGTTACACGGTGGTTGGCAACCCATACTGGATGGCCCCAGAGATGCTAAATGGTAAGATGCTGATACCAGGATGCAGGTGAGGAGACAGCCTCTGACGAGGTATAGGGATGATAGGATTACCAAAAGCTTCTGGCCCCTAATAACAATCAAACCTATTACAGCCTATGGTTTTAGACCCGCTAATATGCAAGCTTATTTATACACACAGGTACCCTAACTGCACTTCTCTTGCAGTACCTGACCTGATAAGCCTTTGTACCAGCTGAGGTAATATTTCTGCTTGACAGCAGGATTCTTCAGGAGGGCAACAGACAAAAGAGGCCTGAAATAAGACTGAACCTGAGATCAGTTTCCGTTATAGCCTCATGCTTTGGAACTGCCCCTTGAGACAGGGAATCATTAAACTCCTGGATGAGGCTTATGTGTGCTGTTGTGTAGATCCAGGGAGAAGGCGTCTGCTGCCAGGTTTGCTGAAGTCTCAGGATTGAGGTGGGAGTTGTCCAAGTGCAGGGAAATCTGGGTTTTGGCATGCAGCCCTCAATTGCATTAAGGATGAACTATTTCCCTTAGGGGAAAAACTGCCCCTGCAGGCGTTCAGGTAAGGGTAAAATATAATGGATACAGTTTCCTCCTAATGAGCTGGTGGGTCCGACCAGACTGGACAGTTTGGCTGGCTATGGTATCAGTATTGTGCAACATAGTCCACCAGGAAACAGAGGATTGGGCTTCTCTTCCCTGACTCAATTCTTCTCCACGTTGCTTTCTTGCCTGCTGTTCTGTTTTCCTCCTCTCAAGGCCTACAGGCCCTACTGGAGCCTGAGGCTACTTCTTGGAGCCTCTCTTAGACCTGGCATTTGTCAAGAGAGCAGCAAGAGCGTAGTCTGACATCGCCTCTCAAAGCAAGGCTGTTTACCAGATATTGGCTTGGGAGGGGAGTGTCTGTAAGCAGAGAATGGCATGCTGGAGCCAGTCTGCTTTCCCAGATTCACAGTGCTGCTAGTGTGTAATTTATTATCTCTGCAGTCACTGCAGCAGGGACTGGGCAGTAGCTGGCTGCTGGGGAAGCTGAACACTGACTCAGTGCACTGTAGAGACGCACTAGAACAGCAATCAATGGAAACGGGCAGAAGCCTTCCATAATTTTCCTTAGCGTTTGCTCAGACCTCTGATGCACAAGGCTTCCCTGTGTTGTCCTGTAATTCCTCAGTAGAAGAAAGAAGCGGGATTAAAATATGCGATGGCAGTGTATAGGATGATGCAGTTGGTATACATATCTTGGGGATTTAAGCTTTGCTTTGTCTCCTGTTTTAGGGCCCTCCAGGGAATAGGCTTAGCGAAGCTTTGGACTGGCAGCTCCTAGAGTAGCTGGATGGGGAACTGCCTCTCACAGAGCTGAATGTCTTATGTTTCCTGCAGGGCAGAGCTACGATGAGACAGTGGACATCTTTTCATTTGGGATTGTTCTCTGTGAGGTAAGGCCAGGACATTACATGGCATCTTTAATGGACTTCACCTTCCCCATTGCCATCTCCTTGTATCACCCAGTTCTCTGTGTCTGAGTGTGCAGTCTGTGACCTAATAGCTCAGTGAATTAGGCTGGGAGTAGAAGCTTACCCTGCCCCTGTTCCCTCAAGGAAGATAACTGTCTTGTAACTTTTTGGTCCCAGAGAGAGTTTCTTCCTGGACTGAAAGAAATACAGGGGTTCCTCTTGGACTGAGAGAAGCTGTAAAAATGTCCATCAAGTTCTGATTGAGCCCTGGTGTCCATTTGAAAGTAGACATATTCCCTAAAACTGTGATGCTTTTTTCTTTTTCTACTGCCTCATTAAAAGAACAATCAGTTGTATAATCTCAGCAAATGCAGGGCCTCCACTGAGGAAGGCACTTCACTTGAAAGAAGGGGAAACTGAAACCTCTTTGCAGGTTGATTAATGAAGCTTGCACCCTGAAGGCTGTTGGCTTAGTTTTTGTCTGAGCCAATGCACAGCCTTACTGTTATATTAGGCTTTTCTGTCTGCAGAGCAAGGAGCAGCACTCAAAAACTGCAAGGTATTTTCAGTTTAAAAGGTGTGTAAGACAGCGGAAATACAGATGAAAGGTGGGCTGTTATGTGTACGGATAACACAGCAGTTACAGGAACACCAGGGGAGACCAGCACGGTTTCATCTTCAGTGTTCGGATGAAGGGCACAAAGAAAATATCTGTGCATAAATCTTTGTGGCTTCATCTGGAGCTCTGTTTACACTGGGCCCTCCTCTCGGACAATGTTGTGGTTCTGAGTGATAGATTTAGGAACTTGAAAAATCCATATGCGGGATTAAAACAATTGTTTCATCTAGAAAAAAGACAAATAAAGGGGTAATAGCATATGAACATTTGCCTTGTCACCAAAAAAAAATGCTAAAAAAAAGAAGTTACACACTCAAACAGATAAGGAAATAACCCTGCCAAAATACATAGTGGGTGTTCCACTGTCTAGTTACAGGATGTGGTTGTCCTGCTGAGTGATTGGCATAGAAAAGCCTGCGTGGTTATATAGAACACCTTTTTTGTGATACCTGATGAGGCTTTAAACCTAATACTCTTCCCATGTGAGAGCTTGTATTGACATTGACCTTGGCTGAGCCCAGATCACCCCACAGTTGTCCGCTGTGGGTTCCTTCCCTCTTATTACACTTTAAGTCCCCTAGTGCTGAAGGGGGCGAGCACTGGGACTTCGGAGTGCTGGGGCAGGGCTTCTCTCTGTTCCACCCATCCCTTTCCTCTACTGGCTCTCACCTGCAACCTCCTGGGCATTGGTTATGGTTCTTCTCTCTGCCCCTACGCCCTGGCTGTGGGTGGGGTTGAATCTGCCGGTAACAGAGCAATGCAGAATTTGTGGTGCTGTTGAGTTCACAGCACCGTTTAGGACAGGCTCTGTAGACCAAGGAGCTTTGCTGGTGGTGTGGTAAGATTGTGTGAGAGGGGAGAGATAGGATGGTGATGCAGGTTGTGTTGCTTACCTGCGATCAGGGTGGGCTGCATCATCCCCAGCAGCATACAGCGCAGTAGCTGATGCAGCAGCAAGACACTGTTGAGCTCTCTGGGAGGTGCACATCGTCCTGTATCTTCTGGCAGGGAAACCCTGGGGAGAAAGAGAAGGCGTCTGGGCCTTCACGACAGTGGCCACATTGCCAGGTCTTGAAAAAGTTTCACGTGAAGTTTCTCTGTATGCAGTGCCTTGCTCATTCCCCTGTGCAACCAGTCCCATTGGAAAGGATCTTTCCCTTGCACTCTAATACTTTGAAGGAGCTTCTGCCCAATGCTGAAATTTCCTGTTTGTTAACACTCTGGAACTGTTGCTGTACGTAAGTGCTCCTCTTATTTTTCCCTAGATCATAGGCCAGGTTTATGCTGACCCGGACTGTCTCCCACGCACACTGGATTTTGGCCTTAATGTCAAGCTGTTTTTTTCCTGCTGATTGTCCTCCAGCCTTTTTCCCTCTGGCTGCCATTTGCTGCAGACTGGAACCAGAGAGCAGGTAGGTTTGGGGTCTGGAGGACTCCGTATGCCTGGAGGATATGTCTGTGCCCCCTTGGTGGAAGGATTGCTCTGCACAGAGGGTGGAAGAGGGCTGTATTCCAACCTTTTGTAGGAATGCTCAAAGGCTTCCACATGAGGAGAGATTAAAGACTCATAAGCTTGGGAGAGAGACTGCTGTATATGGTAGGTCTCTGAAACAATTTCCGAGACAGAGACGGTAAAGGAGGAGTGATTGTTCAGGATTTCCCTTGTACAAAAAGGAGGGGCAGACCTTGGCAGCAGCTCCAAAATGTGAATACTTCATTTGATTTCAGTTGTGAAACTTGTAGCTTCAGAACCAATGAACTTGGATGCCAAGTAGGTTCCAAAAGAGCCGGGCCTCCCTGTTCATCGGCTGTAAAAATGGGTAGCCCAGACAGATGGGATCTTTGCAATCTTGGAAGCTGAATGGGGAGGGATCATGTCCCTGCTCACACCTCTGTGCATGGGACAATAGCCTGGATTGACAACTGGCTCAGCTTTTCCCAGTGTTGTTCTGCTTCCTCTTTCCAACTCACATTTCCTCACTTCTGCTTCTAGGCCCCCTTTTTCCAAGCTGGAAGATTCCTTTGAAGCGCTCTCTCTCTACCTGGGAGAACTTGCCATCCCCCTCCCATCTGAGCTGGAGGAGCTGGACCACAACGTGAGTGTGCAGTATGGACTGAACCGTGACAAGCTACCTGAAAACACAACCTAGTCAGCTCGTCCTGCTGCCTGCACCACTTCCATTGGAGTTGAGATGAGTGACAGGGAGAGAGATGCACTTCAGCCACTTCCAGGGCATTAATGGGGCACCACGCTGTGCGTTTGCTGCATTGCCTCTCTCTCCCCACCCAACACCCCTCCTTTTGGACATCCTGATTCACTGTGGATTTCTGGCATGTTTCAGAAGCAAAAAGGGCTGTTTCCTGCCAACTGCACCTAGGAAAGCTGCTCAACACTATTTTTCTGGCTTGAGAAATGTTTCTCTGGCCTTTTCAGGCTTCTTTACTGTGGTGCCTTAGAACTTGGCTGCAAGCTGTGAAGCCACCCTGGCCTGTCTGCCAGGGAGGGAATTGCTATAGGAGACTCTCCTGGGCGAGGACCAGCACTTCTGGAACTGCTTTTCCCACTGACTACCCTGCTCAGAAAGCTGGGGAAATTGGCCATCCAGCAAAAGGCCCCACCAGGACAACGTGTGCGTGTATGTTTGTGCATTTGTTTTCCAGAACAACCCACTGAGATTTTGGGCTCTGATGTGCATCAGGGGAGGGAGTGAAAAGCCCCAGGAATTGGGCAGCTCTCCTAAAATACCTTGTCTGTGGGGAAGCGTGTATGAATTTTTGTTTTGGTTTGGTTTTGTGGGTTTTTTTCGTCCTCCGTCTCTGAATACCTCCAAAAGCCTGCCTAGAAACACTAAGACTGAGCTCTGCTTGCCCCTCCTGATGGTGAACAAGGCAGGCAGCAAATGAGCCACTTGAGCATCTTCAGACCCTGGCCTGCACAGTGAGTTTACCTGCCCAAGAGCCTTAACCTAGGTGAAAGTATTTGAACCTGAATGTGTAGAACTGCACTAGTCACTGGCTGTGGACATCCCTGGAGTGCTGAAGCTGCTTGAGCACGTGAGCTGACGGAAAGGGTGGCAGAAGGTGCTCTTCAGAAAGCCAAAGGTCTGAAGTGGCTCAGACTTTGTGCATGGACAATGGCAAAGGGGGACGTGCCCAAGGTTACTTAAAGGATGGACTTGTCATGAACAGAAAAGTGCTGGAGAATGTCCCATCCTCCCAGGAGTGGCAGCTGGAGAACTAATAATTCAGTCGCCATTACCTCATCCTTTCCTGCAGGCTGTGCACGTTGCTCCCTTTGAAGGTCCTTCTTGCAGCTGCTGCTGCAGTACCTGAGCTGATTCTCCAAGCAGAAACTTTCCTCAGGGTCATTCCCTGCTTTTGGGGAGAAAAAAGGGCTTGGAGTCATTGGGAAGTGGGTGGGGGTGTATTTTCTTCCAGCACTTCTCTTCTTCCTCCCTCAGTGGGAGAAGGAAGAAAGCTACTGCTGCAGTAGCTCATGTGGTTGGCAGAACTGAACAAAAAAGCTGGCTCAAGTCCTGCTCTTAAGTTTCACAAACATCTTGGTTTAACTGGATTTTTAGCGTGCTCCTTTCTCCCCCTTCCCCCCCCCTTCAGTATTGAATGGTGGGGAACGGGTGTTTGTCTTTGCTGTTACTTTGATTTCCTCCCCCTACCCATGAGCTTGAAGTATTATGTAAAATAACATGGGACCAGCCATTACCTGACAAAGGTGTGCAGGGGGGATGTTTTTAGTCTGTGTAGTGGTGTTCTAGAAACACTGGGGACTCCCTGTGCTGTGAGTCAGCGGAGGAGCCTCTCTAAACTGGGTCCAGTGGATTCAGGATTGTTAATAGGATTTGCCCTTTCTTTCCCCCTCCCAGGCTGGTTTGTGAGGGGACCCCCTGAAGGGGAGAGTCCTGGGTGGTGTGTGGGTGGGGTTTATGAACTGTGATTTGCACAGCTCCATGTTCTAACTAAATTAAAGAGCAGTAAATGTATGCTATGAAAACAAGATTTTGTTATCTCTGTGTTACATGAAGCTGGAAGCTGTAACTTACTTGGGTTTCTATTGTTGTCACAAAATGGCAACATCAGAACTGCACAGATCGGGTATCATCTAGAACTCCCTTTCTCGAGCCAAAGGGCTCTGCCACATTTACAGAACTAGTGAGGTGCAGTGCAAGTGCTCTATCGTACTATTTACCTGGAGTGACAGAAAGGGAAGAAGTTGTCAAGTTTTGTTGGTTGGTGGTTGTTGGGGGTTTTTTTAAGGGCAGACAGGAGTCAGCACAACATGGAACCTCTCTCCATTTTCCTTTTCTGATCCAGGGATAAAAATACAGCCTGTTCTTGGAAACCTCTTATTCTGAAGTATGTAGTTCAAGGGGCATTTTTTTAAGGCAACAACTGAAGGAAAATGCTAGCTATGTCAGTGCCTCCTGTAACCTGCTGTGCTCTGTCTCCATCGTGCTTTCCAATGTAAGGTCCCGAGGGACGGAACTGCTGCTGAGCAGCACCAAAGCAGAACTGACCTGTGTCAGTGCAGGAAGGAGCTATAACTGAGAGCGTCTTCCCACGGGCCAGCCAGCTTAGTCAGCACAGCTCACACACCCACAGCTGCTTTTCAGGAACAGTGTCCCAGTCCAAGACTAGCTGCTGGCAGCAAGGAGACAAGCTCCATGCCCCTTGTCAGTGCTGGTGAGTAGAGGCACTGCTTGTAGGGATTTACCTTTGGGCCTGGCAAACTGAAGTGGCATCTTCCCTTCTCAGTTCAAAGTCTGCAACAAGCAAAAGGATGCTGCTCTGGCAGGAGGAAGATGAGCTACAGTCCACACAGGTCTACAGAGCATTTTTCTTTTAAGCTTTAATACAAGGTAGTACAATCTGCACCTTCTCATAATGAGGTATTTAAAACATCTTACAAATAAATGGTATTCAAAGGCATTTAAAAATAAAACGTTTCCCTTTTCTGAATCAAACATTAACACTAAAACCCCTGCTGCCAAGTGCTGCTCCCTGTTAGGCCCACAGCTATAAAGCAGATGGCTAAAAAACTTACTTGAATGGCTTGAATCCCCTGAGGCGGGGATGGATGTTTCCCTGAACTGGCCTTGCCTTGGTGCCGTTTGGGAGACACTGCAGCAACCATCCCTTCCAACCCCCTCCCCCCCGCCCCAAAATGCTAGTAAAAGTTGTTACAAAACCTCTCTAATAGGGCCAGGCTCTGTAAGCAAGTAGTCTTGCTGCACAAGCTCAGTGTGTGTGAAGGAGGCTGGGCCAGGAGCCGTGCTGTAACTTTGGGATCTTGCAAGAGCAGCAGCCCTTACCGGCCGCATCAGGGCTGGGCTGACCTCCACAGCTGGCTCAGCCACTCTGTCCAGAGCTGGCTCTGTAGAAAGCCAAGGGAATTCAGAAGAGGATGTTACCTGTCCTCGGTGCTCAACCTGCTGTAGGTACCTGAAGGGCAGTTTGTTTTCTTCACAACTATCTACTGCTGGCCTTTGGTCTCCTGATCTGTGTAAGTGAGCAGGAGGCACAGACCACCTGGACACCTACAACTGTGGCTGTGCATGTAGCACCACAGGGGAATGGAGATGTGGCCTCAGCCCTGGAAGACCTGGATTTGTCAAGAGCTTGAGAAGAGCTTTTCCAAATTGACACTGGGGCTAAACATACTGCTCCTGGCCAAAGCCATCCCTCAAACAAACTCCTCCTTGGAAAAAAAATACCTGATCCGGTAGCAGGATTCTGGACAGTGTCTCCAGCTCTCAGCCACTAAAGCAAAAAGGAAGGAACTATAATCAGAGTGTAATTATCTAGCTAAGTCTGACGTGAAGCTCCCCTCAGTCCCTGCAGTACTGCTCCCTCCTGGGGTTCCAGGCTGAAACTTAAGTAACAGTGCACACCGTTAAATAGGAAAGGAACAGAAAAAGAGGAAGCCAAGACCACACTCTGGGCTATGGGATCTGTTGCCAGTTATGAGCCTGGCCCATCTTCCCCCCCAGCTCCTTGACACACCATGGAGATAGGTGGGAGGAAGCAGCAGGGTCCACCACACCAGTCCCCACCTGGTCATGCACTGAATGGTGTCCCTCAAACAGATCGTGATGAATAGCCCATTGCTCTGTCCCTCTGCATCACCTTCATCTGGCTTTCATCAAAAAGAAAACAAAATAGAAATGAACACACGCAACCCCCACACTCACAGTGGGAAGCTGGAGGCTTTGCTCAGCCTGTATCGCTCCTGCCCGAGCTGCTCAGGCACCAGGAGTACCCGCCTGCCCCATGAGCGGGCCGCTGCCATCGTGCGCGTCCTCCACAGGCGTCTGGTTGGTGTGCACCACAATTGTGTTCTCATCTACGAGCTCACAGGCAGGATTGGTGAACGCTGAGAGTGGCAGTGTGATGCGCTGCATTTCACGCTCATAAACTTTCTGTTCGTGCTTCTCCTTCAGGTCTTTCCCCCTAGATTAAAAAAAAAAAAAAAACACAGAACATATATACACATGGGGTGAGTGCCACTGCTTGGAGGCAGAGTCTCAGTAAAGGTGATATACTAGACAAGAATGGACTCCGCTTTTTAAGAAACAATTGTTTCAACAAAGGGCCAGAAACATTCCCTACTGCAAGCACAGAACTCCATATGAGCATCTTTTAAAAAAAAAGCAGCCAAGTGAAGTCTGTCCCTCCCTCATAAACCGGCTCATTCACTGACATCATTACAGCTAAATGATGACTGTAAAGCCAGGCTTCTCCTTCAAACCATGGAGCTGACAAATGTTTCCTTATAGTCTCACAGCCCTGCCTGGTGCAGGCCCAGGGAGTAGCGAGACAGCACAGAGCCCAGTGCTGTGGAAAAGAGCTTCTGTAACATGCTTCATCTGATAGAAGTAAATACCAGAGGTGGTGACAGATTCTGCTTTTTGTTGCAGCAAACAAACCTGTGGAGCAAATTAAGCCGCTCCTGAAAGTATTAAAGCTTACTTCAGAGCTGGCCCTGCCTTCTGCCGCTGCAGCTAACAGCTTAATACCACAACCAGCTCCCCAAACCTACCTCACTCTTCAGCCTGTTGCTAAGGGAGGCAACACCTCTGTAATTTGTACTGAGGAAGAACTGCCTTGCTTTAAAAAGGGATGGCATTAATAGCACGTTGTCTCCAGAAAACCTATGTACACCAAAAGCTACTAAACCCATTAAAGGTTTCTCACCACACCTACCCAACCCTGCCAGCTTGCACATGCAATTTTGAGAGCAAGGCAAGAAGAGAGAGACAGACAGTACACCTGCACTGCAGCCCTGCTGTGAGCTCTCTGGGATTGAAGCAGCAAAGCTGCATTTGGACAAAGCTCAACACTGGCCTCTTGCTTCTTCCCGATGAAGACAGGAGTGAGGTGGGACAGGCACCACTCACTCCTCCTGGGGCTTGTGATCCCAACCAAGCAGAGCTGCTGGGGTTTCCTGTCAGCACATAAGCATTTTGGCTGCTTTTCAAAGCTGCCTACAAGCGTGCAGCAGTGAGGGTGCCAGCGGGGCCTGCCGTCCCTGCCAGCACACGAGACAGCATTCTCTGAAGCGACACCTCAAATCAGATTCCTCGACAAGCAGCGCTCTGTGTTTTGCCCCTTATGTA